CTTCCTTCCTTCCTTCCTTCCTTCCTTCCTTCCTTCCTTCCTTCCTTCCTTCTTTCCTTCCTTCCTTCCTTTCTTTGCACTTAGACCAAATGTTGGGCGACATTGGCCACCAGTATTAGGTTTGTAAGACACTAAGAGGTGCCATTCTCTCTCAATGAACAGAGGCACTTCTGTAGATTTCGCAGACTCTGCTGCCAGCACCTCGATCTCTGGCATGACAGCATATTCTGAACAAGATGGGCAAACAACAAGAGGAAGTAACTGAGAAAGTCTCTGGGGAAAGTGGAGGGAAGAGGGTCAGGTGAAAGCTTGTAGAGAGGGGCCATCAAACTGCCTTACACTGTCCCTGAAAGCACTTTCCTTTGAAACTTGCTTTAGCTACATACTACACGGGACCATCAGCGAGTTCTTGGCTCCCTGTTGCCTCTATTTCCTTGCCTGGGATTTATGAGATTTTGGATGCAATGAGATCACTCACTTGAAAGCACTTCAAACTCTGTGGGATGCTTCAGTGACCATGCTCATTAGTTTTTTGTCAACTTGACACAAACTGGAGTCACCTAAGAAGAGGGAACCTCAGTTGAGGAATTGCCTCCAATGGATAGCTTATGGACATGTCTGAAGGGGATTTTCTTGATTAATGATTCATTGGTGTAGGAGATCCCAGTCCTCTGTGGGTGATGCTATTCCTGGGCAAGTGATACTGGGTTGTATAAGAAAGCAAGTTGGATGGGCCATGGAGCAATCCAGTGAGCAGCATTCCTCCATGGTCCATGCTTCAGTTCCGGACCTAGCTCCTGCCTCTGTCTCTGCCAGGGCTTCCTTCTGTGATGGACTGTGACTGAGCCATATAAAACCAATTAAGCCCTTTCCTCTTCAAATTGCTTTTGGTCATGGTGGTTATCACAGCAATGGACAGCATACTACAGGAGTTACTATTATTACTTTTTATTGTTTTATCATTGTGTCTTCAGTGTTACCATACCACGTGTTCCTGACGACAAGCATTTGCTCACTAGTGAGAGCCATTGTCCTTAGTTTCTCTGGAGTCACATTTCCCTGTGAGAGTCTGCTCCTTGATGAACACAAAATCTTCAATTCTGCGTTGCCAGATGGTAGCCTATATCCAAGTTGATTTTAGAGAGATTTGGCTAAAATAGGGTTCAGGAGGAATGAGTTTCACACAAGGAAGAAGGAACCTACTAGGCAATCTCATCAGGCGAATTAACTTCAGTATTCCGCGTTGAAAGGATAGTCCTCTTCATTACACGCACTGCAGCAACAAACACGAAGAAGAAAACAGTCCACAAAAGCAAAAATGTGATACGAGGCATAATCACATGATATATTCAACTATTTCTGTACTCTTCCAATCTCTTCCCCAACAAGACTGTGAACATGGGACATGGGGGGCAGGGGTAGGCACACAACGTAACCTTCTCCCAAAATATCAGAGGAGTATTAAGGAAGGAGGGCCTGCAAGGAATCAGTGACTTGGTCACCAGTTAATTGTTGTCATGAGAGATCATAAGCAAGCTGGCACATAGCTGAGGGCCTCAGAACTATTGTCTCAAGTTCTTGAATTGCGGTGAAGCAAGAAATACTATTGAGATTGACAGGTTGGCTAGGAATAGTAGATATGACACTAATAGAAACAAAGAGCTTAAAGTGTCTGCTGTATGCTCAATGAGTATTCAGTGAAGGTTAGCTGTGATTAATGTTGTCATCCCTACTTTGTAGATTAGAAAAGTGTTTTTATGACATCACCCAAACTACCCAAGGCCTCAGTGCTAGTGAATAAGTAGTAGATTTTGGATTAGGACCCAGTGTCAGTTGACTTCTGAGACCACCAAATCCACTGGCTTCACATATACTCCTAGTTGATACCCAACAGGCATAATAAACGCGTGTCAAACCCTTGATTTTACCAAAATGTTAAATCTACATTTGGGTTGTTCAAACAAAAGCAAAGCAAACAAAAATACAAAACCAGCTTTAACTGTTAATTTTGAGGAGGAAATGAAACAGTCCACAAAAGCAAAAATGTGATATGAGGCATGATATAGTCGGCTATCTCTGTACTCTTTCAATGTTCCCATTTATCTAAATTCTGATCTTCTTGTTTCCTCCCTGACACCATGGTCCAGGTCCAGTGACTGCCATCTTTTCCATGAGTAATTACAGCAGTCTCTCAATCCACAAGTCACTGTGAATCTTTTAAGACACATCAGATCATGCTGACCTCTATTCATGGCTTATTTCAGACCTAAAATCACAGACCTGTCCATAGTCTCAACGTAAATCTCCTCAACTTTTGTTTCCTTACAATAACACTCATTCCACAGTATTCTCAATCCCATCCAACTACTCTGAGCTATTACATCAGAGCATTTTCAATGATTGCTATGATTGTGAAGAATGCTATATCCCTAAATATCCATGTTGCTCATCTTTTACTGTCTTCATCTGCTACTTTGGGAACAAAGCTTTCCCTGGATAGCCATGTATTAAAGTGTCTATTATGAAAGGTAGCTATACCTTTTGCCCTATTTATCTTACTCTATAGTATTTCTCTCTCTCTCTACACACACACACACACACACACACACACACACACACACACACATCAGAGTTACTTCAGTTTCCCTCTGTAGATTATGAGCTTGGAAACAGGAAGCTTGTAGTGTTATGTTCCAAACATGTAGACAATTCCCAGCCATAGCACACTGCAGGACATCACTGGGTGACAGCTCCTTTCTTTAAAATCCTCCCTCTGTGTGTAAGATCCAGAAACTGAGCATCAAATGACAATGCCTCTGCTCTCAGTGATTCCCCAGGACTCAAACTGTTTTTAACTTTTCACAACTGCCAGAAAATAGTATTTGAAGACAAAAACCATCCCATAATCCCACATGCCTTCCATTCCTTCCTACTAACCCTTCAACCTTAGAAAAATGCCTGATCACCACCTATTTAACCCGGTACCACGTACTCAAACAGGCCACAGGCTCTCCAGTTCCTGTTGAAGCTGAGAATGGCAGCCATGTCCTCCTCACTCAGCTGGAAGTCAAAGACCTGGAAAGACAAGAGTTCCAAAACTATCCTTAGCAAGGAAGATGCTGGTGAGGTTCTAGGTTCTAGGTATTTCCCTAATACGTCCATAACAAACACATTATTCTCTAAATTAAGAGTGGGTTATTTATAGAGTTTAGTGTTCTAAGAGGGGAGAGATTGGTTTGTAGGTGTGCTAAGTGTGTACAATGACTGTGCCACCCAAAGTATCCCAGAGGACAAGTTTTCAAGTCCAGTCCATATGTCTACAAGACAATTTGCAGTTGGCTAGCACAGTCTTCCGCCTATGATCTAAGTGCTCAATAATAGACAGTGGTCTTCTCAGTGGTATAAGCCACAGCTGTCATCATTCCTGACAGATTTGGCTGGGACCATCTGTGAGCTCAATCATCTCAGCTCTGTTGAGGGCAGCTTTCTGGCCTATGAGTTGACAGAGTGCTTGGAAGAAGGGAAGACACAGTGTCAATGAAGGAGTGGGGTGAGAAGCTGAAGAACAGGGAAGAAGATTCCTCCTTCCCTTCTTTCATCTGCTCCACTGAGGAATGTCAGATAAACAGCCCAGGTCTTACCTGAATGTTCTCCTGTATGCGTGAGGGTGTCACAGACTTGGGGATCACCACCACATTCCTTTGTACTTGGAACCGAATCAGAACCTGTGTAGAACAAAGGGAAGGCTACAAGACCTTCTCCTTCTTGTAAAATGACAACTATCTAAGTAGCTTGCTATGGCTTAACAACAATTAATATTAACAAATTAATTAAACAAAATTAATATTCACTGTTAGGGACACTTTACCAATACCCTTCTTACATCTCTTGATCCAAGAAACAACTAGGAATTTTAACGAGGAATGAGGAGGGCAGCCTGCTGTCATAGGCTTAGACTCTATGCAGTTGGCACCTGAACCCAAAACCTGAGGGTTTGGCAGGAAGCTGAAGGACAGAAGCAGATCCTTGCTTCACTAACTCTAGCTGTATTTTCTGAAGCTCCCAACAGGCTTACACTTCCCATTTCTTCATCTCCAGGGAATTAAAAGCAAGCAACACAGTTATACACATGACTACAAGAATGGACTGCTACATAAAAGGGAGAAATACTCAATTTTACCTGAGCTACTGTTTTCTTGTGCTTTGCAGCAATCTCTTTGATCTTGGGAATCTCCAATACTACGGGATCCTCTGGCTTGGCACTAGAGGCAGAAAGATGGCTGGAGTGAAAATCACCATGGCTACTACGTGCCCGTGAGCATCACTGCCAGGGCAGTGTCACGGCTGAGCACTGCAGCTTTTTCCCTCTGCAAGGCAGGCAGGAGAATCTTTCCCCTGGATTCATACATAGGGTCTAGTACTTTGACAGTTTGAGAAGACTGTCCCAGCACTGGACATCAGAAATGGGGTGTTTCAGGGGATCAGACATACTATCATTTTCAAAACACTCTGCCCTCACAATGCCTCTTGGGTTGCCAAACACATTGCCATTGGTATACTTTATCTTGTACCTTGGAAATTACATATTAATATATCAAATTACAAAGTGCTAAGTTTAAGAATGATAGGGGAAAAAAGGCCAATACTCTGAAGCCTTACTAAGGTCTGTCTGGGGAACCCAGGGGACTGTAGGCCGTGACAGTGATGCCCTTGGAGTGACAGTACTGAATCAGTTTCTCCTGGGTGAGATAAGGGTGACACTCGACCTGCAAGAGAAAACATCTCCATCACTAGGGAAGCAAGCCTTCTTGAGTGGCTCAGTGGGAACTCCAGGCACAAGAAAGGACCAACACAAAGGCCAAACACAACCCACTGATAGATGTGCTACAAACCAGACCCAGAGAACTGCCTCCCACCTCCCTAAGCATCCTGAACACAGACCTCAGAGATGAGACTCTGCAGACAGTCTTGAACTTGCCTCCCAGTGCTGAAGCAGGCACGGAGCAGGACCCTGTGCCAAACAGAACTTACCTGGTTGGTCACTGGTTTATGTTTCAGTCCAGGCTTGTTCAGGAGTCTTTCAATCTGGAAGTGGTTGAAGTTGGAGACGCCCAGAGCTTTCACCAGCCCCTGGTCCACTAGTTCCTCCATGGCCTGTCACAGTGAAGAATATCGTTTAGAGCTCTAAAAGAATACAGGGATGCTGGCATGCTTAATCCTTGGGTTGGAGAAATGGCTCTTGCGTGGCAGGCTAAGTGAAGCACTAAAGAAGAATTTTGGTCTGGACTGTGGTACCCTCATGGCTGCTTCCAGCCCTCCTACACCTCCCCAGTTAAAAAGTAACGAGGAAAGAGAAGTAAAGATTTAATTGCTGTCTGCTCTTAGGCAAAAATGACCCAAACTGTGTGATGTAGGTTATCCAGGAAACAGTCCACAGTGTAAGGTCTCTCCTTTTGTTTTTTTGTTTTTTGGGCTTTGTTGTCGTTGTTTGGTTTTTGGTCTTTTTGTGCTATTAACGATTCAGTCTATGGTCTCCCATGTGTTAGACAGGCAATCGGCCATTGAGCTGTATCTCTAGTTATTAACCGTCTTTCATATTTCAGTTTTGAATAGGATCTCTTAAGTTATACAGGTTGGCCTTGAAGTTACTCTGAAGTCCAGGCAGGATTTGAAATGTGATCTTTCTGCCTCAGCCTCTAGCATAGTTGTGATTATGGGTATACAAGAAGGATCGCTTTGCAGATTTATAGACCCTGGCAGGGGCACCCAGCCTAGATCTGGGTGACCTGACATCTGTCCCACTGGTCACTTGTCCAACCCATATTGCAGCCACTCAAGGATCTGGGGTTTATTTATTTATTACTTAAATACACTGAACTTGTTCTAAACTTTCCCAAAGATGATTATTCAACCTGATAGTGGAAGCCGCATATTGAACGTGAATTTATCATTATTCATCCATTCTAAGTTTCTGTTTATATACATGTATACATATACATCATATGCGTGTGTGTGTGTGTGTGTAAGTCTATACAATGTGCTTCTTGCTTGAGATTCTGATGGCCAAGTTCAAGTGCTCAGGTTTCTGTCACTGAGCCATCACCCTCAGTGCGAGGCTACCTCAGCTTATTGGATATCAGATAGCATAGGGATGAGGGAGGAAAGGAAAGAATCATCTTAGCCCGGGGGAATCATTAGAGTCTGAAAAAAAAAAATACCATGAAGAAAGGTAGTAAAATCATGAACGGATGGGGGAGGGGCAGCAAGGGCTTAGAGGCAGGGACAAGCAAGGAGTGTTTAGCTGACACATGAAGTCTCGTCTTTGGCTACAACTTGGAATATTCTGAATAAACTCTCTCCTCTACCATACATAAGAGCAGTCATGTCCGCCCTTTTTATCTTTTTTTGTTTTACTCTCTGACATACTTAGTCCTTCTGGTATCTATCTCTCTGGTATCTAGCTTGCAGCAAGGTATTGTTTTGTTCCTGAAAGTGTTTCATGGGGCTAGGGAAATGTGTCAGTGGGTAAAGGTCCTTGCTGTCAAGCCAGATGGTCCAAGTTTCTTCCTGGAGCCTATGTAGCAGAAGGAAGAACCCACTCTGGGTAGGTGTCCTTGGACTTTCACAGATAGCTCCACACACAGCACTTTACAGGACAGAGGAAGAACTAGAGAATAATAGTCCTGAAATTATATACAGAGCGCTTGAGCCTTTTCATACCAGGGTGGAGTCTCAGGGGACCTGAGAGAAGTTTGTTTTTATTTTTGTATTTTTTTTTAAATCTCTGAGCACACTTGAAAAAAGTTGGAACCTACCTCCCAGGCATCCAAGAATGTGGATTTATTCATGAGAATTTTGCCTTTATTGTCTTTGGGTAATAACTCATTCCCAGCCTGTAAATAAAACACACAAATCTCACTGGAATCTGCATTTAGATACCTGGTCCTGTGAAGAGCTGTCTCAGGACAGTGAAATAAGAACTACCTATGTCAAACTGCGGAGAACTCACATAAAAACATAATACTCAAAAGAATTCCTGTAAAATTCCCGTGTCAGTCTACCATGGGATATTAGTCCTCTATTTCTGGCAATGCTCAACTGGCTCCAAATCCACTAGTATATTGTTGAAGCCATCATTATCATCATGGAAATTAACCAATGTAAACTTGGAGGACATTTTAATTTCAAGGTCACTAGGCAGAGGTATTATATGAGAAGAGTATGGTTATCTGGGGAAGAATCGCTAGTTTCTTCTACCCTTACAGCCTGGAGAAGGCTTGAGTTTTGGAGACCAGGTCACAATCTCCAAGGTTGTTCATGAGGGCAACAGAATGAGAATTCACAACTCTCCAATTTGTGGGAGCAAAGACCCAGATGCTGTACAGTATTTCTTCAGGTTGACCTGGGTAACTGCCAATATCACCTCACATGGAGGTCACTCCCTGGGCATATTTTGATTAATAGGAACATATGCAAAATTATCCCAAGACATCCTACCCAGGGCACTCATGGGCATACATCCAACAGGAGGGTGGCTGGCCAGTTGCAGCTAATCTAAGCTGGTAGCAGAAATTACTGTTTGTTTCAAACACAGTTGCAGAAAACCAAGCATGAGTCTCACCAGGTACCACCTATTACCTCAGCCTCCATTCTACACCAGTGTCTTTTTGGCCCTGAACAAGATCTTCTGAGGACTAGAGGGATGGGTCAGAAGATGAGTGCACTTGTTGCTCTTACAGAAGACCCAGGTGTGGTTCCTAGCACCCAGGTGACGCTTCACAACCATCCATAACTCCAATTCCCAGGGATTTCATGCCCTCTTCTGATCTCCACAGGCACCAAGCATGGGCATGGTGTACATATATACTTGTAAGCAAAACAGTCATAAACAGATAATAGGATAAAACTTAAACCCAACCTCCTGCTTCATCCTTCTCCAGCATCACAGTCTTGACACAGTAGACACTCTGTAGCATCTCCCTGAAAATAGAGGTAAGGCAAAGAGCAGCTCAAACCTGAAATCCCTGTGGCCAGTGAATTAGATACAGGTCCAGATAGTCCAGCTTCAGATCCGAGAGGGTTTTCTGGAAAGCTTTCTTCACCAGACTTTTCTCAAAGAAGGTAGACCATAGCTGCAGGGTGTGACAAGAGAACATTAGGACCAGGGAGAGAAAGGCCACACCTTAGTTACTGTCCCTGCTTTGAGATTTGTACACCCCAGGGCAAGCCATTCATGCATAAGAAATCAGTTAAGAAATGCAACTTAGTAGGTCATCAGCTCTCAGCAAGTCAACATTGCTTCCTAAGTGTTCCTCTATGTCTGTATTGGTTTTGATGATTTAACTTAGTCGGCCATTGACTAAAATTGTTCCTGTGTTACGTGCCTTTCTGTGGCTCTCATTTCTCAGAAGGCAGGAGTTGCTTATGCCTCTTAAAGTTCAAGCGTTATGATGCAATAGGAGGGCTGGCCCTTTTACTCCCTTACCCCTGGGCCTGTCAGGCCCTGTGATGAACGACAATGAGTATACGTATATAGGTGTGGCCACTCCAACAGTGGGTGTGTTTGTGTATGGAAATCTACCAAGAGATATAATGAAGGGAGGGAGCAAAGGGCCGGGAGAAAGCAGAAACATAAGGAAAGGATAATAAGCTCTTAAAGCTGCCCACACCCAGACACTCCCACTTGCCTTGAAGTCACATCCACCAAGTGGACCATTGTACCTTGCTGACAATGAAGAGATCCTCCCGCCTCACAGCCTTCTCTTTGATCTTCTCCTGGATGGCCTCTCCCACCTCATTCTCATTCTGATACACATAGGCACAGTCAAAGTGGCGATACCCAGCATCAATGGCCGCCTTCACAGCTTCCTTGACTTTGCCTGGGGGAGACTGAAAGGCAACAGAAAAGACCACTGGATGCTCCCAAGACCCCCTCTTAAGAGCTCCACATAGACCAGATTCTCAAAACCACAGCCTTGCTGGAGTCCTGTTTCCAAGTGGACACAGGAGAGAAAAACATACACTGGGGAGCTTTTCACCGGAAAATAAAATGTGAAATTTTTTTTTTTTATTTCATGAAATTTTTAGGTTATCATGCAAAGTGATGGGTTTCAATATGGCGTCTTAATGTACACGTCATTGTCATGATAATGACCCATGCCCTACTCTAGTCCTCCAATTCAGGTTCATCTTGAAGTGCCTTCAGTTTCTGAGAGCAACAAATGGCTCCTTTAGCAAACTGACGGCTAGCCTGAAAACAAGATTCGGAGGAGGATTTCTCAGACTACAAACAGTTAGAAGAATCTTAAAAACCATTGTAGCAATGTAACTTGAACTCTGCTGTGGTGCAGTATGAGGCTGAGCAGATTCCTCAATTTCCCTAAACCTTGACTGCAAAACAGCAGGTTATGGGCCCTCCCTCATGAGGTCTTTGTGTTGCTTGCTTGCCACATGATTGTGATGGGTTTAGCACATAACCTGGCACTAGGTAAGGCTGAGTAAATGCAATCCAATATGTAATCACTGTTTCGAGCAAAGAACAATTAGGAAACTGTTAAATAGGTACTTCATATTTTTGTCCTGGGTTTTAAACCTAACAGAAACTTTATAACAATGGATCATCCTCCTATGAATTAAAAAAAAAAGAAGAAGAAGAAAAGAAAAAAAGAAAACAAACCAAGAGAAGGAACATTTGAAATATCACCTTCTGTTCTGACCTAACCAAGTCAGGTATTAGCTTAAGGAAATAAGTACTCATAACTTCTCTCTTCTGTAGAGTATAGGGCTACATGGCTGTAATCCCCACCATGAGAGGCACAAAGACAGGAGGGTCAGTGACTTTGAGACTAGAGCTACATTACCATCTCATTCAAAACAAAACAACATCTTGCTGGATGTGGTGGCCCATGTTTTAATTCCAGCATTTGGGACATAGAATAGGAGAATCAGGAGTTCAGGGCCAGTCCCAGTCACGTAATGAATTATTATAAACCAACCTGGGCTACGGAAGACACTCTCAAACAGCCAACCTGGGCTACGGAAGACACTCTCAAACAGCCAACCTGGGCTACGGAAGACACTCTCAAACAACAGCAAATAAATAACTCTTCCTGTATCACACAATCTAAAAATTCTGTTTTTAAACTAAACCTCGAGAAGCACATAAGGCAGAGATCAACAGCTATGCCATCATGAAGAGAAGGAACTTCCAGAAACTCAAAGATACTGGGGTCCAGGGCCAAAGTGTCACCCTCCTGCATGTTCACTGATGATCACAGAGTCCTTATGGCAGCACTGTCTCCTTACCTTGAAAATGACTCCTCACAATATTTACAACTGCTTTTGAAATTCTGAAAGTGCATTTCCTCTAAATTTATTCAGGGTGAGTATCCTGACAGAATATGAAGTTTCTACTCTGGTTGCAAGTCTTGCTGTTCTAGTAAGATCCCAATCTAGTACCGAAACAAAGAGGGAACCTACCTTCTGTGTAAAGAGAAAAAGAGAAACAGTGGAAGATTAGAAACAAGGCTCGGACACAGGCCAAACCACTCCTGACTCAAGGATGAAGGCTCACACCTATAATCCCAGGATTCAAGAAGCTGAGGCAGGAGGATTACTCCAAGTTTGGTCAAGGCCATTTTAGGTTATAGAAAGAGACCCTGTCTCAGGAAACCAAAATCAAAACTAAAAACAGTTCCTGGTAACAAGCTGGCTACTATCATGTTGTCCGTAACATACAAAGCAAAGAAGGCAGAGTTAGAAGAAAACGGACTGATGTCAGACTTATCCCGAGATTTCGTGAGAAATCTGCTTCACTGGGCACTGGGATGAGCCATGGAGCAACTTGCCAGCAGAGATTAAGACAGCCAGGGCAGGCTCTGAGCTGACTCCCCTTCTGTGGCCCCCATGCTGCTCAGATCTTAATGTGTGAGGGAACCACGTGGAGTCTTTGTAAACTGCAGGGGCCAGTCCTATAGCCTAGGCTGGGGCCTGAAACTCTGCCTGTCCCACAGGCTCCCAGGCCACTCAGATGTTGGCATCATCTCACATCACGAGCAGGAGTGGGAGCAGGGGTCATTCATAACTCTATCCTTTCTCAGTCACTCAGCCAGTAGTAACAAACCAACAGAGACCCTTGAAGTCCCAAGGAAAAGCTTTCTAAGAGAATAACTTCTCCAAAAACAGTTTTCTCCCTGAAATACCAGTTTAAACCTGATCCCTGCCAAGGCAGTTATCATCATTTCTAGAACAGGCTCGTTTCGGAGCTCTGCAATCCAAAGCAGCTCCAAATGAACGGATATTGGGTGATAATTCTGGGGTTTCAAACTCAAGGCAGCTGCTCTGCAAAGAAGAGAAAATGCCAAGACCCCTCCTCAAAAGCAGCAGGTGTTTTAAGATTGCAAACTCACCTTCCAAGTGCCCAGGCCCACAAGGGGCATCTTGGCTTTGGTACTGAGCTCCACAAAGGTGGCCATGGTTGCTGCAGGGACTTCTCTGAGTGAGCAGATGAAACGCCTGCTTTCTCTATAAGAAGGCTGGTGAAGTTTTTATGTCCTGGTTAAAGGAGGCGGGCTCTTATCACATTGGCAAGCAGCCACAGCCACGGGTTGGGGCATGAGAACAGGAACTTCAGTGCAATCTTTTGTCACACTGATTAGCTTGAACAAAGATTCAACTCAGCACAGTGCAAAGTCTCCCTGGTGCAGAATGTATGCTTTCTTGGGAATGCAGCTCAGAAGTTTGTGAATCTAAATAACAAGGTTGAAAAGTTATCCAAGATAAATTGATAAGTTTATTTGGGAAGGGTCATTGTCCTTGGAATGGATCTAACTCTAGTGACTGCGTGAGTCTTCAAGCAGTTTGAGGAAAGGAAAAATGTCAAGGAAAAATGAGACATCCCAGTATTACAGTAACTACTTTGCAATAACTCTCATTGGCCACAGAATTAAGAACAAGATGATGTCTGTTACAGAGGAAACTGGCAGATGACCTTGTGATTGATTTGAAAACAATCTTTTGTGATTAAGAAATGTCATGTACTCAGTTATGAAAAGCAAAGATGGTTTATAAATGTGAGAACATAAAGCAGAATATTCCTATCACTTAAATTCACATTCCCAGTGCTATTTTCTTCTGCCTTTGCATATGTGTGTTATTAATAATGTCTCTGAGTATATATGTCTTAGTTCTTACATACTATATATTTTTTTGGAAGTTAATTTCATAAAACGAACTTTCTAAACATCTATAACAAGCCATTTTGACCTAATGTTTTGTTTTTGATTTTAACTTTTGCATGTGTCCATGCGAGTGTGCGCAGGTTCCTGTATAGGCCATAATAGGACACCAGATCCCCTGGAGGTTTACACGTGGTTGTGAGCCACTGAATGTGAGTTCTGGGAATTGAACATGGGTCCTTGGTTAGAACAGCTTGTTCTCTTAACCACTGAGCCTTCTTTCCAGCTCTAAAACACCATTTTCAAATTATTTTTACCACATACATTTTAATGGTAGCAAAAGATTTGGTTTTGTGAACATTTATTTGGTTACTTACACTATTCTCAGATATTCAGTTGGTCTTCAATTGGTTTATAATAGGAATAAGTAATATTCCTAAGTATGTCACTGTAGGCATTTCATGGAAGTTCCACATCCCAGGACACTGACAATTACTGCCAAAGATGCCTAGGTATGTGCAGAGGGTTCCCTCTGTGTTCCATGAAGTCTCTGCACAGGAGATTGTCTATGTGTGTTCTAGAATCTGTCTGAAAGAAGAGCATCAGCTAGCCACCAAATACAGATAGAATTGTAAAACAACATAATGTGCTGGCATACAGTTGTCATGGTTAAGTTGGTAACCATGGTAACCAGGTAAGTTGGACTCAGGGTGTAGGCTCTGTGGATAGAGACTGGATAGTGACACGGACATCTCCAAAGCCTGCACACAGAGCTCACCTCATCGAAGACCAGATATACTAGACAGGAAACTAAACGTCAGGTAGAAATCACAGCCAAGCTCCGTCTCACACTGTGATATCTCGACACGCTCCCCTTCCTCTGAAATCCCACTGCACATGGAAAGAGAAGATCCTAAATGCCATATATTTAATCCAGAAGTAAAAGGGAGTAAAACGAAATTCAGAAGGAGGCAGGGTCAGCAAGTGAGCTAGGTTGAAGCTTCATTGGTACTAAAGATTCTGCAGACTGCTTTGCCGTGGCTGACTAGACATCATAATTGTGGGTAGAGGGAATGCTGGACAACACAGAGCCCCATTACTGTCTACTTTTATCTGCTCTGACATCTTCATGAACTTCTGATAAGACTCCTGCAATGTATCTCTAGACTGGACACATAGTTAGGTTCCAATCATCACCTGACTATGTAAGGACATCTGAATCCTATGGGAGAGAACTCACTGCTTTTCGATCACTTACCTACCTACGTAACTGCTGTTGTTTTGATTTCTGACTTTCTTGTTTAAACTCTTAAGATTTAGTTTTCTTTTTAAATTAAGTGTACATATATACATGTTCACGAGTGCAGGTGCCTGTGGAGCCTTCAAGAGGTTGTCAGTTCCCTGGAGCTCAAGTTATAGGCTGTGGTGAACCCTAATATGGGTGCCAGGAACCAAATATAGGTCCTGTGCAAGAACAGCATTGCTCTTAACAACTGAGCCTTCTCTCCTGCACACTTTTATTTACTTGAGACAGGGTCTCACATACTCCAGGCTGACCTAGAACTTACCATGTAGCTCAGGGTGACCTTGGACTTTTGATGGTCTTATCTTCACTTCTGAGCACTGAGATGATAAGCATGCACCCCGTGACTGGTTTGGGGGATGCCAGAGAACAATTTTAGGGCTTTGTACATGCTATCTTAAGAGATGTCCCATCTCTTCAGATTTCCACTATCCTCCAATGGGGCAAATTTAAGACAAAGTCTTTAACATCTGGCTCTTCAAGGAATATTCTGGATCCAGTTTGTAGCAGAGCCCATGAAGGAAAAAGCTTTTAGAGAATCCAGGTGTCTTAAACTAATCCTGGCTATGTTTGGGGCTGTCACACCAGCCAGCTAGAGTATATGTTGCTATATGGCTAAAATTGTGTTGGGAAGGACCATTTTTCCTACAGAATTGTGAAAGCCAAAGTTATGTTTTAAATTTTAATTACTGTTCCTAAGAGATCCATAAAACAATGCTCTAACCTGCAATTCCCTTGCCCAAGGACAAATACTTCCTGAGATGCTGGAGGCTGATGTTCATCTAAGTTGACAAGCCTATATTTTCACTTCCCTGAAAAGTTAGGTTGACCCAACAGCACTGGATGCACTTGATCATATGTAGGCTGGAGGTACATCAGGATGTATGCGTGCTCCTGACTGGATAAAGGTGGGAAGTGGATCGCCTCCATAGGTTTGCCTTTATAAGCACGAAGCCAGTGAAACTCGTGGCCATTTGGGAGGAATTCTGGAATGAACCTGGCCAAAGTCTATCATCCTGACCAGTATTAAACCTTGATTCAAATATGGCTCAAAATTGTGGTAGTGATCTTATTCTCCTCCAGTGGAATTAATAAAATCTGACCTGTTAAGAAAAAATAGGTCTGAATCACATTGTCTCAGAGAAAGTTAAAGCAGTAAGACTGCTAGAGGATAGTTTAAAACCAAAGTAGGAATTGCATTAGTTTGTTTTCTAATTTGGATGGGAAGCTGGGAGTAGAGGGACTAAGGGTATTCACTCCACAGGGAATACTTAGGCAGCACAACAGATATATTACTGAAAGCTGGGACCAAAGGACAGAAAGAAGGATGATGCTCCCTAAGAGGATGCCAGGGGAGAGGCTCTGCTCTGGCTGGGTAAGGAAAGCCATTCCTGGCAGACAGTCTCCTCTTGCACACACTTGTTTCCACACTGACAAGAATGGGTCGACTTGGCTTAGATCGGTCCTTGCTTCTTTTTTTGAACCAGTAAATGAAATATCTTGTCATCCTCCCAAACAAACAATACAAAAAAAGTGCTTTCATGATGTGGTGGTTTGAATAAGAATGACCTCCAGAGGCTCACATGTGTGAACACTTAGTCATCAGGAAGTGGCACTACTTGGGAAGGATTAGGAGGTGTGGCTTTGTTGGAGGAAATGTATCACCGGGGTTCGTTCAGCTTTGACATTTTCAAGGCCCAAGCCAGGCCTAGCATCTCTCTTCCTGCTGCTTGTGAATCTGGATCTAGAACTCTCACCTACCTCTCCATCACTGTGTCTGCCTGCATGCTGCCACGCTTCCCACCACAGTGATAAAGGACTAAACCTCTGAAACTGTAAGCCAATTCAAATTAAACTTTTTTTTTTTAATTAGAGTTGCTATGATGGTGGTGTCTCTTCATTGCAACAGAACACTGACTAAGACACAAGTCACAAAATTTTATTAAAATCCGTAAGTTGTGTCTATTATTTTATCAAGTTTTCAAAATTAGTAATGACTGAGAGCAAATTTTCTAACTTTTAGATCCTGAGTGAAAGCATAAACTATTATTATTATTATTATTATTATTATTATTATTATTATTTTGGTTTTTTGAGACAGGGTTTCTCTGTGTAGCCCAGGCTGTCCTGGAACTCACTCTGTAGACCAGGCTGGCCTCGAACTCAGAAATTCACCTGCCTCTGCCTCCCAAGTGCTGGGATTAAAGGCATGCGCCACCACTGCCAGGCAAAAGCATAAATTTTTATCATTATCACTACCATTATTGTTCCCTTTAGAAGTATGCTAAAGAGCTGTGACTAACAGCTTTTAATTTATAGCACCTGGCACCTCAATGTTCTTGGTCACATATACTGTGTTAAACAAAATCATGTGTTATTCATCCCTGCCCCTGATGTTAGCATTTTTACCACAGATTTCTTTCTGATACTTCTGTCTTAGCTATAGTTGCTTTTGCCATGAAGAGACACCACAACCATGGCAACTCTTATAAAGAAAACATTTCATTGGGACTGGCTTACAGTTCAGAAGTTTAGTCCACTATTGTCACGGCAGGAAGCATGGCAGCATGCAGGCAGACATGGTGCTGGAGAGGCAGCTGAGAGTTCTACATTTGGATCCAAAGGCAACAGAAAGAGAGTGAAGGGACTCTGGCCAGCTCGAGCATGGCTCTGGCTAACCCTAACCTTTCCCCCTAGCACCTCTGCCTTGCTAAAAATCAATAGATTACATTCTAAAGCTAGCAACCAAGGTCCATTTCCTTATTTAGTCACTTCCTCCTCCTAACGTTGACTACCAAAGCCCAGCTATCAAAGTATTGAAGTCCAGCAATCAAAAACCCCCTTTGGCTCGTCTAATTAACATACCCAATTAAAATTAAACACTTCATCCTAACACAGAGTTTCTCATTTTACCTTTATAAACTGCCATTTGCCTATATGCCATGTCTGTCTCCTCTCTATATCCAGAGGCTGCCCCAGCCCGAGGGGGATTTGACGAGACCCTAGGGAAGGGGGTGAAAGAATGAAGGGACAAGAGACACAAAGAAGGAGAGCAAGTTGAGGGTTTTGATCAAGCTCTCAAATTTTAATTTCAGGCGGCAGGTTATAAAGACACAGCAAAACG